CTTCTATTCTTGTGTGCCCACCCTGGGGCGTAACATGAGCACCCTCCGGGCTTCTTGCCGGTGTCCACTCTGGGGCTCCTCACCATTGGGGCTCAGGTGGCCATAGACGTGCCTGGCCCCTAAATCCACCGTGCCCCTTTCACAGGGCTGGGGTCAGTGCCCCCTGAACATTGTGCCCTCCCTGGGCTTCTTGCCTGTACGCCCCTCCCTGGGGCTCTGCCCGCACTAGGGCCTTTCTCTGCGCTTGGGGCTCTGGTGGCCATAGCCATGCCTGGCCCCCCCCAATGCACTGTGCCCCTCCTCAGGGCTGGGGCAGTGCACCCCTAACTGCGGTGCCCTCACTGGCACCGGGGTCCCCACCGCTGTGGAGCCCCTCTGAGGCCTCCTCCAACCCCTATTAGCCTCACCCGGTCCTCCGGTACAACAATAACCAAAACCATAAGCCAATCGGCTGTAACACAAAACCCAAGCCTCCTGGCTAAAACTCTAACTCTAAGCCCTCTGGCTAATTGTCCTTTCCATCTCTGCCAGGGGTTCCTCTACCTGGTATCTTTGCCCATCAGCTGCTCAGGCCATCAGGCTTCTCAACTCTGCCTACTCCCAGCAAAGCTCTCTCTTTCTTGGCTGCCAGAGGGGAACTGCCTGCTTGGCCTCAGCCTAGGCTGTTTATATAGGCCAGGCCCTGCCCCCTGCCGGTCAGCTGACCGACTGTGGTTGCTCCAGCAACCAGCACTTGTCTTTTTCTCTAGGAGAAGGGCATTGACGTGCCCTGCGACACTATATATGCTAGCACCGGGATGACCAGAGCCAGACCTGACACCCTTCCTGTAGTGTGGTGCCAAAAGGTTAAGTCAGTATAGCCCATCTGAAAACATACATAGTAATGCTCACTGTGCTCAGTCTCCCTCAGTGCTAACTCATTTCCAAGTCATGGTGAGCCACTACATTGAATATATTTTCTTCTTCACTCCCACAGTTGAACTGAGCCTTTCTTTCCCATTTCCAATTATTCCTGTTTCTTCACCAGCCTTAAATGTATAGCAAACATCACCAAACAGGGCCCCAAACAGTTCACCCAGGAGCTCTCTGTTGCCCTCTTTCTCAGCCTGTCACATATGATTATTGTGGCCCATCCTCAATAAAGTGGAGGCAGACCAGGTTGCCTTGTGCATCATCTGCATATAATTTTTTGGAGGAACCCTGGATTCCCAGTTCCAGTTATGAGTGAGGAGTTAATTAGCACATCGATCCTTTGTGGGAGCAATGCTGAGCTCTGGGGTCACCATGGCTTGAAACTCTGTTGACTCTGCTGGGGCCAAGCCCAGTGAGCTATATGGTAAAACATAAGCCTTTTGGCTTGGACAAATACCATGCATAGTTTGGACTGTATATAGCTAAGTACAAAAGTGCTGCTTAAAAGTATATTTATAGAGTACCTATGCTAAACCTGTAACAATTTCAAAAAAAGGTAAAATGCATTAATTCTGGATAAATTAAACTACAGGCATGTTTATTTCAAGGTCAGTGTTTTCAAATGTGTCCCTCATTTCCATGTACTCAGGGACAGCAGGATCTGACAGCAAGGAGGGGGGAAGGGTCTGCAGGGAGAAGCAGTTGGGGGAGGGCAGAGGGCCAGGGGACCACCTCACCCCTCTCTAGAGTGCCTTTAGTTCAGGTTTCCAAACTCTTCTCTGCCACCCAGGAGGTAGAAATGGGCTCTGATTAGAGAGTCTAATATAATCCACTGATGTTTGTGACAGCTGGCTGGCTCTTCAGCTTAAATTTGGGACCTTTGAGAACAGTCTTTCCACAACAAAAACTTCTCTTGCCTGAGGTGCTTGAATCACAACACAGAACAAAAGAGGGCCTGATCTTGTGTTCCAAGCATGACCCAGGCTTCCACTGATCTCATTGGGAGCTTCAGATACTTGGTGTCTGAAAATCCAGCCCTTTGCTTCTCAGGTTGCAGCCCCAGCTTGAAGCATGCCATGCTGGAGGTCTCTTCCAGCCCTAATGCCTATGGAATCTCAGCAGCCCCCTGTTTGTATTAGGCTTCATTTCACCTCTGCTGGTATGGAGGCAATTAAGCCCACAGGGTGACTTATGCCCAGGACAGGGATGTAGTATGTTCAAACAAGACAGAAGAGTGCTCTAAATTGCAGCTATTTCCTACAGACAGCCTACTTAGATTGTAGGAACATTCAGAGTATCCCCGGGCACTATCCTAGCCTTAATGTGAGTTAGGCACCTTACCACAAAGGTGGAAAACAAGGGCTGTGAGCACTTTCCAGGAGCTCCTCAGGTGGACTAACTACTGCTTTGGGCCTCTGCCTTCAGGTGGACTGGCAGAAATGGTATTTTTCAGGGTTAAGAGGTTCCCCAATACTTATACTTTGCATATTGATGTTTGCAACTCATAAGAAAACTCTAAGGCAAAAGGTGTCATCACTCACTAAATAGCATTCTGCAAATAGCAGAACTCTTTAGGTGCCTGTACTTGTGTGGGGAGCAGACTCGATTAAGCAAGTCTGTTGAAGCATGTTAATTAGTGTGCTCCAGCCAGTCTCCATGTCTCATGTATCAGCATCCCCACACTTCAAAATGGTGGTGGGGGGGTGGGGCTTTAACTAAAACTTGTTCAACGAGCTTTAATTCAAGTGCCCCTTCTTCCATTTTGAAGCATGGGGATGCTGCAGTGCTTTAAAGCACCACTCTCCCCTCCCACTCCCAGAGCACATGTAAAATCGCCCTTTCATCTGAAGGGTAAGTGCAGATGAAACCACACTTCTTTACAGCCATGAAAGGCACATAGATTCACAGGTCAGAGAGCCTGTAGGGACCATAATGATCCTATGGCGTTATTTCCTGAATGATACAAGTCAGAAAATGGCACTCAACAGATTCCTGAAATATATGCACATATGTCCTTAGGAATCCAGTCTTGGTTTCCAAGATTTCACATGATGGAGAATTTACCACATCTCTTTCTGAGTTGTCCTGGTGGCTAATGACTTAGATAAGAAGGTATACTTATTTCTTGCCTGCTCTGCATGTGCAGTGCCTTTAGCCTTTTATTAATACCCACTGTCTTCAGGTACTTCACTGTATCTAGGTGGAAACATGGATAAAAAATGAACTAAGGCTTATCACAGTTTTACTTCAAACTTAAAAACTCAGTAACTAAAAAATTAACGATTGAGGCAATGCTACCTCCACATACATCATGCTAATGGCTAAATCCTGAAAAATATCCCTGAAGTCTTTTTCAATATATGGGGTTCTGTAACAGGGAATCTTAGTCCTGTTACCAAAAAGCAGGCTGGTCCCTTTAACACCAGAACTTTCTGGGCACAGCCGGCTGGCAGGGTAGGGGTAGGGGTTAAAAGCTGAGCCTTGCCAGCTAGGCAGGTGACCGGAAGGAGGCAGGCCAGAACTATAAAAGCCCTGGGCTGAGCTGGCAAATGGGGTCTTGGCAGCAGAAGGGGTGAACTCCTGATGACTCCTCGAGAAGCTGTGGCAGCCACAGAAGAAGAAGCATAGCAGATGGCGGGAAGCAGAAGCACAGAGCCATGGAAAAACATGAACTGGCATACTGCCTTCCTTAACTTTACTTTTTGGGTTATAGCCCATGGGCTTACTGTTTGTGATTGACTGGTAAACTGGTGGTTTGTGGTTGAGGCTGTAGGGGAGGAGGAGACCTCATTAGCACCTTGGGGTACAGTCATACAAAGGGCCCAGTGCACTAGTGGCTGCAGCTGTATAGGGTCAGTGGCCCAGAGCTGGCTGCAGGACTTTGAAGCCATGTCCCAGTGGGTGGATCTTGGCTAGTAGTCTGGGCTATAAGAAAGGGGCGAAGCCTGAGAAAGCAGAAGACCCAACAACTTGGCACCCAGGGGCACAGCATGGAAGGGGGCCAGAAGGCCTGGTGCCATAGTGAGTGCAAACAGAGGACCACGGGCCCAGAGAGTATTAAGGAGCTAGAGCCTCAGAGTCAAACCCTACCTGGTGGGTTTAGGCTGGTAGGCCTAGCTAAAGAAAGATGGGGTGAAAAGCCCGTGGTGGCTGAGAACCCTAACATAGAAGTACAATAGGCAGTCTCCCGCTTGTAAGCACATCAATACAATATTCACATCAAGATGTGCCAGGTGGTAGGTAAAGGCAGAATCCAAGACAAAAATACAGAAGTGAAGTATTAAGGGACTTCAAGGATGCCTCTCATAGGCGACTAGATGCCGCTGGGGGGGAAACCTGTTACAGGTTCTTAGGACTCAGAAGGTATGGAATAATGTCTGTACAGCAGCTATAGCAGATGTATCTTTTGTTTAAAGTCTGGATGTAATGGACTGGATCCTCAGTTTGCATAAACCATTGGTTCTCAACCTTTTTAGATTTGAGGCACCCCATGATAGACCCAAGGCACTCTCTGGAAAGTGCTGACTCTTATTTTCCACTTGTTTTTTGATTACAGAAAATAACAGAACAATTTTTCTGTTGCAAAGAACTCAGTGCACAACAGGTCAGGATGGTTTTAACCCAATGGATTACTATTTGAAATCTCTGGGTTTATCATGTGAAACCTGTTTGTACACCTACAGTGCTATGTGGCCCCTCGCCACAGCACCCTGAAAGGATCTCAAGGCACAGAAGGGTGCTGGAGCATCTTGGTTGAGAATCACTGGCAACAGTACCATTCCATTTAAGTCAATGGAGCTACACTGCTTTACGTCAGCGAAGGATCTGGGCCAAGTTGCTGCTGGTGTCCGCCTCACACTTGCGTTTGTAACATCAGTGTCAGACCGTAATAGTCTCGTTAAAAGGAGTTTCCAGGAAGAGCAAGGGCTGAGGGAACATGAAAAGAACTCCTACCTTCTGCTCTGATATTGCTAGGCTCTTACAGCTTCGCCATGAGAGACCTCTGGGCTAAATCTTGATCTGAGAGTGCAGTCTGAGAGTCAAAGGGCCCACTACTATGGCTCACTACTCAGGACTTCCAGTTTTTACATTGCTTCCAGACAACTCTGTAGAGCTACAGTCTCCAGGGTTGTGGGTGAATTCCTTCTGATCAGATGTAGATGAAAGCCACCTTTGGGTGCAAGGTGTGCTGAATCCATTAGCCCCACTCATGTCTCCGTACATCCAGCCCTGAGCATTGCCATCTCATCTTACTCAGCTGTGCCCAAGGGATGAAGAGCACCTGCACACTTCCAGCAGTGGGGAACTCCGGTTTCGGTCAGGCTTCCTCCCACAGAGTACAGGACTTGGGCCTCTGTACAAATGGCGGGCCATGCCCAAGGCAACCCATGGTTGAAATCTGCTGAAGTCCGTTTCACTCCTGGTGTTCTTCTTGCCATGGAAGCATTTGCAGCTTAGTTTTAGAACAGAGGCTAATGACGCCACTCCCCGGCATGTCAACTCTGCTGCAGGGTTTGGTCCGTAAGGGAGGGCGTGGAGGCAAGGTCCAGCCCTGCCTGCTCACTCTCTGCCCCTTGTTGATGTGAGGGCAGCAGTGGGCACAGCTCTAGAGGGGGGTGGGGGCTGGGGTCTTGTTTTCTCCTGGGTGTCTCTACAGGCATATAGTCCAAACCTTAGCCCAACCTCAGTGAATCTGTCACGCCCTCTTAGATCCTTTGAACAAATGCACAAACAGGAAAACATAACTATCAGCAGTACAATAAAGAGAGCAGCCTTCCAATGATCAGACCCAAGTGTGCAGCCCGAGATGTCCTTTTAGACAGAGTATACGTCTTTCTTGGAGAGCCTTTCTGTGTAGTCCCAGTTTATTGGCTCCTCCATTGTGTTTGCTTTCTGGTCCAGAGAGTCCAGTTGTGCACCTGAAATAAAATGTTGCACTGGAAGGGCAGTTAGGAGCAGGAGTTACTTTAGGAATGTGAAGCACTGGAAGGAATTGGTGAAGGGGATTTCTGTAGGTTAGCTAGTCTTTAAAAACAGCTGACAATAGCTGGAGTCTCAATCTCAGCAAAGAGTGCCTCATTGGTCTCGATTTCTGTATCTTCTTTGAGGTTGCCCAGATGCCGAATAATGCTCTCTCTTGTCTTCTTCCCAAATCCTCGGAGGGTGAGAATAGCTATAATATGTTCATTCCTGTGAAAATCAAAACATAATCATTCTTGGTGATTGAAAACCTTGTAAGAAACCAAGTAACAACAATGCTCTGCATTAAGGGAAGGCAAGTTGAAATATCGGGGCTGGTTTCCATCCCTCCTCTGGTGATCTTTGCTAATCATCCCAAAAGCATTGCAGAAGGGCCTGGGGGACTGAACACTCTAGGACAATGGTGTTTCAGTGACACTGCACAGACTAAGGATAGGGATCTTTAATATGGGCAGCTGCAGGTGTCCAGAAGGGTCTTTTCCCAGTCAACTGGGAGTTCTGCCTGTGTGAGACCTGTATTGTCAGGCTGCTGGACAGGGGTAGTCTGGAGGCAGACTGCCACTCTGTTACTACTGCTATCTTATTCTGTGGGGTTGCCTTTGCCTTCTGCTAGTTTCATCATGAGTAAGGCTAGCAGGACAGGGCTCGAAGACTTTCAGAAGTATAGAGACAAGTTCAACATGTCAATGAGAGAGGGGCACCTGACAGCTCTTTGTGCTTGTGCAAATCTCCTTCTTGATGCCTTTAGATGTTAAAATGTGAAACCTTCAGCCTCTCATCAAGCTTTCCTGAGAAACAGAAGGCCTTTTATATTTAACAGTTGATAAATAATGTCAGCATTAATGCTCAGGAAGTTAACAGGCAGTAATTAGATTTCAGCTAGTAGAGAAAACACAAGTAACGGGCACTGTTCCAGGAGTGTGTGTGCATATGAATATAAAAACCCTTCTGAGACTCTTACCACCCCAGGAAAAGAATGACCTGGGGCATGACACAAAACAATAAATGTCCAGTAGGGTCTGCCTGGTTTTCAAAACTTATTTCTAGAAATTATGCTACTCAATGGGTGCATCTACACGTGACACTACATCGCCATAGCAATGCACTATGGCGACGTAGCATCCATGAGCAAGAACTGTGATGCTGCAGCTAGGTCTCTGTAGCCATGTGCTCCTCTATTACAAAGCATTGCTACAGCAACCTAATGCCTAAAAATAACCATGCACAGCACGCACGGCACAGTAGGGGCTGTTACTGCACCGTCTAAATGACAGTTCATTAACAATGGCGCCTTAGGGGCACATGTAGTTGTGCCCAGTATGGCTAGAATGCAAACTGAGCTGATGACCCTAACAGTCTATTTGTAGTTTGGGTAAAAACTATGGAAATTGCCTCTTTTTGGGCCTCAAGGTTTTTCTGAGATTGGCTTTTGAGTTGCTGGTCTCAATGGGTGCCTGTTAGCGCTGGGAGATTTCATCGGATGTTTTGTTTTGAAGTTGTTTTGATGCATTTTAAGCTTGAAACAGCAAAATCAAAACTAAACAAAAGTCTTCAAAATGAAGCAAGGCCACTCAAAATGTTTTAAAAGTTTTTAAATGTTTTGAATTTAGAAGCCAGTCTTACTTGGCTTCAGCACCGGTCCCAGCTGGCAGCAGCAGCCTCCTGTCATCCAGCATGCAGATCCGGGGGCCACACCTCCCAAGAGGAGTCCAGCACAGCCCTGCAGCCCTCCTGGGGGTGCAGGCCCCTGGGTCTGCCTGGTGCTGGATGTGGGCTGCGTCCATTGTCATTCCCAGGTGGCAGCACCAGCCTCCAGTCATCCAGCACGCAGACTGGGGGCCCCAGGAGGAATCCAGCACGGCCCTACAGCCTTCCCGGGGATGCAGGTGGACCCCCAATATGTGCTGTGGATGACAGGAGACTGCAGCTACCAGCTGGGACCGGTGCTGGGTGCAGCCTGTGCCAAGTGCTGCGAAGACTGCTGTCATCTGGCATGCAGATTGGGGGCCCGCACCCCCGGGAGGAGTCCAGCACAGCCCTGCAGCCCTCTCAGGGGTGTGGGCGGTTTCCCGATCTGCATGCCAGACAGGAGACTGGTGCTGCCGCCTGAGACCAGCGCTGGGTACAGCCCATGCCCAGCACTGGGAAGACTGGTGCTGCCACCGGCCCCAGCCAGCAGCGACAGCCCAGGAGGGCTGCAGTGCTGTGCCAGACTCCTCCTGGGGGGTGTAGGCCCCTGATCTGTGCACTGGATGACAGGAGGCTACCGCTGCTGCCTTGGGCCAGCAGCAGCACCAATCTTCCTGGTGCTGGGAGTGAGCTGCACCCAGCGCCAGTCCCAGGTGGCAGCAGCAGCAGCCTCCTGTCATCTGGCACGAAGATCTGTGGTCCTGCACTCCCAGGAGGAGTCCGGCACTGCCCTGCAGCCCTCTCGGGGGTGCAGGCCTCCAGATCTGTGGGCCAAATGACAGGAGGCTGCCGGCAAGTGACATGGGTTTTGCTTGTCAACACCTTGAGGTGCCATTTCCGAGAAATCTCTGCACCTACGTCTTTGAAACTTGGCAGACTTTATGCCCTCAGAAGGGGCTACCATCCCATAGAAACATGGAAGTTGGGTCAGAAGAGACCTTATAGATCTTCAAGTCCAACCCCCTGGCCTGGGCAGGAGAAAAAATTGGGCTCAAATGATTCCAGCCAGGTAGGCATCAAGCCTCCTCTTAAAGACCCCCAGGGTAGGAGCCAGCACCACTTCCCTTGGAAGTTGGTTCCGGATCCTAGCCGCTGTAACTGTGAAGTAGTTCTTACAGATGTCTAATCTAAACCTACTCTCCAGCAACTTTAGCAATTTTTAGTAAATCTACAAATTCAGAGTTTCTGTTAAATTTTTCTCTTTGTTCTGTTCAGATCTGGCAGAAAGTGACCTGGCATATACAAAAGCCATTATGGGCAGTGGGAAGGAAGACTACACTGGGAAAGAAGTGCTGATCCTTGGAGGTGGTGATGGGGGTATACTTTATGAAATAGTCAAACTGAAGCCAAAGATGGTCACTATGGTAGAGATATCCTTTCAATGTGTAACTGGTT